TCGGCATGACATCCAGGCAGAATGACTGGTATGACTGCCATAACCTAATTATTCAGGTGAAAAGATCTTCTGCAAAAAAAGCAGCCAACCTCATCGCCGGGACGTAGCAGCTTCACATCGTTTCCGACTTCTTCCACAATACCAGAACAGTCTCGTCCAGTAATCAAAGGAAATAAGCGTGCTCCAAAACTTCTGTCAGCAAATTGTTTCCAAACTCCAAGAATTGAGCGACCATATCCTTTCGCCATTCGCGTATCTATCGGATTCACACTTGCTGCCTGAATGAGAATAACGGTGAATGTGACTCTTCAGCTTGATATATGGTAAAACCACAGAGTTCTTTGTGTTTCCATATCAGACTGTAGCAGAGTCAAGAAATTCGGACCCACAAAATTGCAGAATCAAAAGTTTACATCTTCCAGCAATCCACAAACCGCGCCACTACAAGTCGCAATTTGTGCATTACTGCGTCGCTGAACCGACTATAAACAGCAACTTTTCACACTCAAGTCAATGAACTTTTAGACAAATGTTGACTAGGTAGTTTTCTCTCACCTTTACTTTGATGAGGACTTGGTTAGGTTTTACGATTGCTGGGACAGGAATTCTGTTCAATTTTGGTGGTGCTTCCGGCGCCTGCACTTGCCATGCTCGCATCAGAGCTTGTTGTGCGGTATTGCTTGACACACTGGGCACTTTCATCTAAAAACTTTGGACTGAAAACAATGTTTTCGGTCACAAATGTGCCCTTCACATCAAAGAAAAAGCTGCTCCAGTACAACTTTGGTCTGCTCCGCTCGAAGTCTGCAGATGCACACAATATATTGTCATCGTCACGCCGTTTTCTGTCTCAAGAACTGTCACTCGTATTTCTAAAGGTCTTGTATTCTTCTTTCCTATGTTTTATTTCACATTATCTTCTTGCTTCATACATAATGTTCAGAATGTCCACCACACCACAAAAGGCTACTGCTGCTAAAGGTGACGCAACGCCTACGGCTGCAGCCCCAGAGAAGATGGAAGTGGAGGAGGTAACTT